GTTGTTTGTTGTTTGTTGCTACTCCGGTTTGGATAGATCTTATTTAGGCAAGTGCATGGCAATGGCAAGAGATTTGCCTCGAGTTCCAAACCAATTCAGTTGTGCAGTTGTGCATGATTCTGAGACATTGTGTGCCAAAGCCAGGCATGTCCGATCACCCAGGATGGAACCAATAAAACAACACCTGCAAAAACTTGTGGAGAAATGCATGCGGTCAAGGTCATTTTTTATGTGTGAGAACCTGCGGAACCCGAAACCATCAAGCCTGCGTTGTTCGGAAATGAACATGTCCTCAACTGAGAAGGAACGTGCTTTGTTTTTTCCTCAACCATGGGAAAATGCACTTTTTGGCTAACCTGTTTTCCCATACAAATTATGGATATTTCTTCAACAAAATGGAAAATCAACCAAATATTGGGTTTATAATATAATAGAATGGGATCATTTGCTGGGATAATAAGCAACATGGGGTCCTTATGGCAGGGTTTAAAACCAGACTGGGTGAGCGATGGGGTTTTAGGACAAACTGAACAAAATCGCAAGCCCAGAACATGGAATCATTTCAAGCGCATCAGCAGGTTAAATGAGTGGAACAAGTACGTTGGTGCCTTGGCTGCAATTTGCCTGGTGCCTTTATTTTTTTTGGATCAATTAATGAAGAGACACTTGAAAGGTCACAACATACATGCTATGTCCGGGTCTGAAGTGTGGTAGGACGATGCAAGAGGAAACATCACAGAACTGGGAACTTGCAGATGCTGGAATCTTGTAAGAAAGAATCAATATCAACGTCGGAATCGTATGCCAAGATACGGTCTATTCCGATCCAGGTGGGAATGCTCGTACTGTAGCGTCTGCTGATCCCGAGCATGTAAATGGTCAAATACGCGCAAGGGTTGTGGAAAGCAAATACTTCGCTTCACAGTGAGTCGCAGTGAGTTGCAAAATCGATGAGTGCTTCAATGTGTTTCGTAATGTTTCATAGTCATAGTGTTTCTGAAGTCCTTGAAATGAGCTGTTACATTGCATTTGATAGAAGAACAAAGCAGAACACACATCTCCAACCGGCCAGCGGCCTTTCGGTCTAAATACCTCAAAACGTGTTCTGTGGGCTTAGAAATTCCAGACCTTGACCAGTTCTTCCGTCACTTTCACTTTCCAATTTTCCACGTGTTTCTTTGGTTCGTTGCAAGATTGGAAGATGAAGACTCTTTGGCATACTCGTTTGCCGGGGTTGCCTGAAAATAAAGTAACCCTCAAAATTTGGAGGTTTCCTGATACCCTATAGATACCCTATCATTGATACCTTATAGTATTATATATATATACATATACATAAATACATATATATATATACATATATATATATGTAAACTATACATAGTGTCAAATGAGGATACCCCCAAATCGCCATGGGTTTCAAATCAAGGCTTGGAGGTGGACCTCATGGATGAGCTGGCGAGACGTGCAGGCCAGGACGTCCAGAGGGGCTTTTCAGCACGAGCTTTCGGAATGAAACATGTTTGGAGTGTATAATATATATATATATGATGGTATTTGCACATACATAATTTATTATATAGAATCTTATTTGTACACATATAAGATATAAAATATGCGTACACACATAATACATATTATATATGATTATAAAAATTTTGTATATGGGCTATATCTATAATATATATATATAATATACGTTGAATCTGTGTATGATTAGATTGAATAGTATCAGTATGTACGGGTATATACTCCTATCAAATATAGATATGATGCCCATTAGTACATGACATGTTGCCACCTTCAACAACGCTTCAGGTTTTACCTACACCATTGTGATTCACGATTGGACCAACGTTACCAGCTATCGGAAAGCACTGAAACAACGGATGCAGCTGTCGCTTGTAGCATCAATTGCTGGCAGTTGAAGAACAAGTGGTGGGAAATGCATGCACTTTGCAAACTGAAATTGTCAACTAGAACTTGAAGTAGGTATGTAAATAGACATGCAGACCAACACACACACACATACTGTTTTTTTCCGCACCGTTGATGTTGAAAGGGGAAGGTCATTTCCTGGACTGACCACCACGTTTCCCATATCAAGTCCTAGTCAAGCACTTTGTATATCGCAGGTTCAGGTTCATGGCAGTTTCAAGTGTCACACACCTGCTTCTGAGGCAAGACATGATCACCTTTGCTTACTGGTTCATCACCCCAAGTCGCATGGCGATGGGGGCTTATAGCCCCTATGGATTTCTTGATTCCATGCTTTTTGCAACTATTGTTCCGCCAGCCTCTTGGCATCTCTTGGCCATTTTAGGAACGAATTAAGTGCCGTTTTTATTGTACGCTTCTAAAGCGACTGCTTTATTTTCTGTATGTTTTCTTCATTTTTTTCGGTGCGTGCTTATATATGCTTGTGTGCGCGCTATAGTGAGTGAAACTGAAAAGAACACTGTTTTCTCTTCAGTGCCTTTTAGCTAAGGAAAGGTCGCGGCTTTCCTTTGATGAGATCTTTTCATTCCTCACACCCTTCAGCCCAGCTGTTTGGTTCAGTTTCCTTGCCCTGATGTTGGCAACCGGCTCCTGGGCGGCAGAAACCTGGGGACTGCCTGATGCGGCATCAGCGGTGAGAAACCTGGGCTCCCAGGTTTGATGTACCGCTTCCTTGAAGCGTCAATCAACGACGAAGACTATCCAGATGGACAGAAAGGACGGTAGATGCTGTGTTTCCCTCTTTGGAGTGGCGTTTCTCATCACATATCGCCACATTCTCTGAGATGTTTTTCAACTCGGATCAACTTGAAAGCATGAAGTGAGATCTTTTTGTTGCCAAGCTGTTGTGGGAGCTTTCCGGACCTTTCCCAACCTACGCCAGGAATTTTCAATGTGCGCTACATCATGGAGCTCTTCCTGCATTGGTCTGGGTCTGGGAATAGGTGACTGGAAATGTATCCGAGCCCCTGATCTGTAAATTCGCCTGTAAACTACTTCTCTAGTCATCCAATGGAGTGTGTATATATATATATAAATAGATAGATAGAGGCACCTTCGATTTGGGAGAGTTGTTGCTGGATGCAGGTTCGCTGCAAAATCAAAGTCCTTGCTTCCAGGGTGGTGCACGATTGTGCGGAGTCTGAATTGCACCCCTTTGGCATCCAACTTGCTCCAGCCGTGTATCCACAAGAATTGGGTATGGATCAACATTTTAAATCCAGATGACCGCAGATTTAGTCATTACTGAGCATAGTTTGGTCAGTTCCAAGTACATATGTATATATATATATACATATATATATATATATGTATATATCTATATAAACTACCCGGTTGTTGGGGTACTCAATTTTGATCTGTCCATACCCAACTGTTTGAGTATGTGTAGGGAAACCTTTAAAAGGATTCTCAACTGTCATGGCTGGTCCATCACCGATCTCTTGCCATAGACGGGGTTATGTACTAGCCAGAAAAGACGCGGGTATCTGAAATTGGCGACGTTGAAGGCATCTAGTCTCTTAGATCGTCTCAAGATGTCTCAAGTAGCACTTCCCAATCCTTTCATTTGGCCATATGATATCATATGATTATTGGATGCCCATTTTCCACCTATATTGCCGGAATTGGATGGTTATGTCCTCAGGGGGATGATGGATGACCTTTTAATATATCTCATCCAATTCTGTCCATGATGAAAGATGATGAATATGAATATCCTATCTGATTTATATTAATATTGATATCCATCATCACGATTATTTTCATTAATTATGATTAACAATAATAGATAATAATAGCAATATTATCATCATTAATGGATATTAATATGATATTATAATCATTAATGGATATTATCATGATTATAATCCTATCATGATAATGATATTAATATTCCTAGCTCATGATGATGGCCGATGGCCCCCAGGGGTCCCCAGGGGTCCCCAGGATTCGGTCTTCAAATCCTCGGGCCACATCACGGGCGCCAGCGGCTTTAGCCCTAAGACCTGGCCCGGAAAGATCCTGTTGATGTCTTGGACCTGGTACCTGGGTTGGTCCAGGATGGTGCCCAAAGGACCAAATAATTGGGACATATGTGGGAATACAATGGAATATATATATATATATTTAAATTTAAAAAAAAAAAAACTATCTATCTTTCTCTACATACATACCTACATACCTACATACCTACATACCTACATACCTACATACCTACATACCTACATACCTACATACCTACATACCTACATACCTCATTGCATTGCATTACGCTACGTTACGTTACGCTACGCTACGTTACATTACATTACATACATGCATGCATACATACATACATACATTTTTGGGGGGGGATGTTTGCTTGGATTTCCCCTCATTTTGGGATATAGTATACTGTATACCTTGGGATATAGTGGTAATTTTCGAAGTATTTGTTTGGGAATCCCAAAGTATGTGGCACTTTAGATCTATTTTTTCTTAACCCATATGCAATTCCAAGTTCCCAACATTTTGTTTGATATCTGTTGGGAAGTCCTCTAACTTTGGGATTTGAGATTGCTGACTGAAATTTTGACAAATGATTTAAAAGAAATTTTGCTGAATTGTAATGGTGTCACCGCCACGTCACCGTAACGTCACCTTCTGACCATGGTCCCAAAATATCCCAGGTGGCTGGGTTATGGTTGTCAGCCAGATTATTGCCATGATCTTCCGATATGAAACGGAAACAATGGGGATAAGTATATTTTGTTTCAATGGGGATTTAACGATCGTTTACATTCATTTATAGTGTGGTTTTGACCATCAAACACTTGGGGATATGATACGATTGACAAATGATCATAAAAATGCCAGTCTTCCACGGGGTAATTCAGTAGCAATTTACAGATGGCGTGCAACACCGACAGGCCAACAGATGAGGGAAAACCATTTGACGCGGACATTATGGGGATACAATGGGCTAATTATATTACGATATTTGATTAGATGGCCAGTTTTCGGTTCCGAATGGCTTGACCGCTGTCGAAACATGCCACACGGTGGGCCATAGGAACCTTCAGGCGCTAATCATCTCATATTGGTGTGGAAGAATGCATCTTTGTAATCCACAGTGACATCGGGCAGGTGTACTTTGCCGAGCCATGATTCATTCCCTACACTCCCTACCGCAAGAATCCGACATTGAATGAAAGCCTTATCATCTTCGACCCTATATGAGTGGTGTGTTGGAATGGATTTGGAGTCATATTTGGTTCTGAAAAACATGCAAACAACTGTAGGTGCAGTTTTCACCTTCCCAAGACCGAGGTGTATCGTCCTGACATTGTCTGCCTACACTGCCAATTTGGCGTCTTTCTTGGTGGTGAATCTTTGACAAAAGCTGGAGATCTGTCCCATGTTCTTCTCATTGCTCGCAGGTTTAGTCGTCAAAGACACATGTCACATGTTCCTTTTTTGGTGAAAGAAGTCCAAGACCCCAAACTTGGTTGGAAGTTGACATCCAAAGGTGCCAAAACGGGAGCCTGCTGTCCATATGTTCTATGGGGTCATGCTACTAGAGGGCAGCGTTGCCAAATCATGACATAGCTCAAGCGAGGCTGATACCAGGTGGGGTAGAAAATTATGGACAGATGCCATGATGCCATTCGCTAAGGAAAGCCGACCATGCTGCAGGGTTTACCAGCCTCAACTCTGCAGTAGCGCAAGGGACACTTAGACCGAATTCACACATTTTGTGGGCTGCCGGCTGACCAATCGCATGGGACATGAATTCGAAGTATGTGCCGGTGGATGGAGTTTTGCACGTCGTGCAGAGCAAAGCAGTCTCCAGGAAACCTTTGTAATGACATAGTATTTTTTGCAGTTCTGGGCACATTTTGCCATAAGTCGGAACTTCCGATCAGCTACTCTGCTGAGGAAAAGTGTGTCTGTTCAGCAAGGAACTCCGTTGGAAACTTGGTCCCTGGGCTGGCAGTTTTTGGGTCATTTATGGGGTGATCTGGGGCCAGGGTCGACGTATTATATGTTGGTCAGTATGAGGCCCATGTCCATACTGTGGATACAGCCTTTGACTCAACACACCATCCATTTCCAAGAGTTCTTTTGACCCCTACGTCTTTGCAAATGTACAGCAGAAGTGCCACATATGCCTCAAGAATCTTGAAAACACCCAAATTCACCAACTAGTTTCCCAAATTATCAGGATTTGTTGCAGGGTTCCCGTTCCTTCCGGCAATTCCCCGTCTTTTCTTCGTGAACTGGACTCCATCAACTGTGGAGCCGGGCCATTGAGGTTTACTGCGAACTACCCCGACTACTCACACACCCAGTCCATGCCCTTGCTGCCAGAAGAGCGAGCCATGATGCTGACGCGGGAAGAGACTGACACAGCCATTTTCCCCAAGTTTGAAGTGGAAACTTGGACTTTGATGAGGGAAGTGCAATTTGAGCAGATGTGAACAAATTGAACATAGACCAATCTGCTGTGTATGTTCTGGTGTCTCAGGAATTTGCTGGATGTTGGGAAGGGTATTCGATTCACAGAATTGTTTTCCAGCAAATTTAACGCAGTTGTCATTGAGAGATATCCAGAGATGACAAAGTTTCGACTGAAAACAACCAGAGTGCGCGCTGCTTTGTCTTTGTACGAACTTTGTAAACAAAGAAACACCGAAAATGTCAGAGAAGCGATCTCCCACTGCAGCGTTTTTGTGTTGATTGCCGCACGGTCCGTGCTATCAACATATAGTATGATATAGTTACAGTACATCATAACAAAGGACAACTATTTAGGGTGAACCCCGAAGTCAGAAACTTCAAGCAAAATTCTGTTCAGCAAATGCCAGCGTGCCCAGGATATTTTGAAGCAACTTCCAAATGTGAATCCACGTTGTGATATGAAGATCATTGGGGAGCCGCTACTGAATATCCAAGCTGGTTGGATGGCCACTTGGTGATGCAAACATGCCTGCATGTGCTAGCCATGCAGTTCATCATGCGTCTTCATGCAACGTCAGTATATTATGATGTTTATGTGTAGCTGCTTGTAGCATGCCGAGACATCTGAGACTCACTCTTTGGATCATGCAGATTCTTTGACCATGCCTTCGGTAGAGGAACTATCTTGGATTTGAGGTCACAAACGATGTGAAAGACAACTGCACTATTCTGGTCCGTGATGTGCTGGCTGTATGGTTTCTCCGCGCCGCGGCAAGACATCAGGATTTCTCGGTTTCGCCAGAAGTCATCCCTCGCCCTAATCACCCACCTCCCAAGCCGAGGAATGGACTTGGATGGGACTCTGACAGAGCTGACCAAGAAACACCTGACACCAGCAACGTGGATCAATCTCTACACTGTCCATGCCGCATATTTCTACACTGTTTGCGCACAACACGCCCACGTAGTTTGCACAACATCGGCGATGACAATGCTGATGAAAAAGATTGAATGCAGAATGCACACTGTTCTTTTTTTCATTTATAGTTTACCAACATACCACCTAAGTATTTGTTTGGCTTTGCAAATATGAGGAACGCTTCTTTTGAGCAGCTCCGAGGTACAGACATGTCCCAGCACCGTGGAGCAGGCGCGGGTATTATGGAAAAATATAGACAGCAACTAGCTTCACTCGTGGTTTATTCTTATATGACCATCTTTTGGAGTATGTCCCATAAGAATAAATATACTATAAAATTGCTAAACAATTACGACATGAATTGATCCGGCGACAGATGAGTGTGAGCAGAGAGCGTGCTCCACATGTGTCCAGACCACAACTGACAGACATGTTTGCATGCAGCTGAGTATGAACAAGGAGTGGCACGAAAGCAGTGAAGGCAAAATCTCTTCCAATATGCCTCCGTCGTATTCACTTCATGTTCATCCATGGTATTGCAAGTGTATAGATATAAGTGGATAAACCCAAGAATAAACCTCCGATTGGGGATTGTTTATAGTTTATACACATTTATACCGTACCGCCCATTTCTGGGGCAGTTTGGGCAGGCAGCATCCGGTGCAACACGATTGGAGTTTGAGAACATGCTGGGCATTTTGAGCGCCTCGTCACAGTTGCCATCGCACAACTCAACCCAGTACCAATATTGTACCAATCATCCCAGCAGTGTCCCGTCTCCCGCGGTCCCAGGTGTTCATGCTGCTGGTGCATTGATTGCAGTCATGGTCTACTGTGTAGCAATGTGCACCAAAAAGATGCCTCCACCCGTGCCTTGCTCGAACCACTTTTCGCAGACAGTGGACTTTTTTGTCGAGTCAAAACCAGCTGGACGAGATGTAGAAATATGTAACATGTAAATCACGTAAGGCATTTCTCGGATTTTGTTTGTTTGGAAGTCTGAAAGTAGTGTACCGCTAAATCCAATTCTACCTGGATGGCCATTTCAAGGTACCCCATTTTCACGCCCAAGAGGGGCGGAAACTTTGATCTGACTATTGGAAGAGGTTCTTTTCATTGTTCTTTGGAATTGAAAAAACGCACATCAAACAGATGCCATTCTTTTGATACTTTCAACAAATTATTCTTCCAGTATCATTATATACCATTGTTATTCTTGAAACGATACTCATGTTAAATTCTTTGTTTCCATATACAAATTTCACAATGTGTCTAACACTATGATACCATGATATACCCAATTTGCACACCATATTGGGCTTGCCAGATCTCAGCCATCAAGAGCTTCAGCCATCGCGATCATGAGCAACCAAGGTGTCGCTGGGATACCCCAAAAATGGCCAGAAATTGACGGGAATATGGAAAAAATGAGAAAATGGGAACACCTATGGTTTTTCAGGTCATAGGTCTGACTTGGGGGTGTCTCAATTTTTCGGACAACCCCGCAGCGGTGTTGAAACGGCCTTGGATTAGGAGCAGCTGTGGCTTGTTGGAACCCGCCCAGAAGCAGAGAAGCAGGATAAGTGGTTGATGGTTCCATTTTTTTCTGAATCCAGCTCTTTGTAGTTGCAGTTGGGATGATTGACTTTCACATTTTTCTCATTTTTTCTCGACCTTGTAGAAAGCCGTTTTGAAGCCACTGGATGATTGAAACCAAAGATTTCAAGAAGGTCCTTCTCTCCCAGTAGGAGGTTTGCACTCTCTTGGTCAGGGACAGTTTGGGTCACAGGTGGCGACTTGGCCTTAGAGGCTGTCCCAACATGTGGATCAATGATTTTTGATGCCTCGAAAATGATTTGCCAAAATTTCCTGAGTTTCGCTGAAGATGATCAAATCATATCAAATCTATGGTTCCTTTATGTTCCTTTGGTCCCTGGATTTCGAGGCACATAGTGCCCTCAAATCTCATGCTTTCTGCCAGGTTGCCAGAGAGCGAGGCGCAGCCGCGTAGGGGGTGATTCAAGGATCAAACAATGGGGTCACACAGAGAAATACCTGAAAAAAAAATATAGACAAATTCATAGAACAAACCCGATTGATACCTGATTGGAGGGTCGAAACGTTTGAAATCTATGCATTTGTATTATTTATTTTTGTTATAGCCAATTTACCTGAAATGATGAGACAATGACATCTATGCACCATCCAGATGACAGAGAGTTCAAAAGCGGGAATTCAAATGCAGCTGTCCGAACGGTTGAGAGTTTTGTGCTGCGCGGTGAATTGATGTTGATAAACATTGGGAATTCGACCAGTACAAATGAAAGTTCCAACGGGAAAATAGATCTCAGGAACAGTGACGTATGTCACAGTCCATTTTGCCAGGCAGCTGCTGGTGAGCCTTTCGAAGTCATGGTGCAAGAGGCGATTCCACGAGAACCCACGGCGCTGCCTCCAAACATGACATGACGCACCAGCGGAAGTGCGGTGGTCGCAACCATGGCAGCCACTCAAAGTAGCATAGTGAAGCAATCAAATGACATGCAACAATGATTTAAGGCGGATTCACGCCGGATGAATGATGAAGTGTGAACCTTCCCACCATCCCGCACTAGACGTCTAGTGCTGCGTTGAAGCCCCACGAAGTGAGGCTCGACTTCTTTGCAGCATCCAAAGGATGCTTGCAGATGCCCCTCGAAAGCGAGAAAAACAAACATCCAGAGGGGAGCCGAACGCACATTGGCAAAATATGGAAATAGGATGAAATAGGCAGGCACAGCGGTGCCTGAAGACAAAGAGCATATGGCTGAACCTTTTTCAAAGCATTTCTAGCTTGCCCACCATGCGATCACTTCTGAACTTGAGGGCATAAACGATGCCAGTATTCCTTACCTCATGTGTCCTGGTTGATCATGGTTGAGAACTTTGAAGGAACATTTGTATTGTATATAAAGGTACCCATGGCTTTTCTCATCAAATATCGGGTTTTCCAGTTGGCTCTGAAATCTGGCGCTCCAGGACAAGTCCTTAGAAGAAGAAAACTGGAAATGGCAGGGCGTCAAGGCTGGACATGCCATGCCATAAATGGCATTTGAGTAGTTCCAATTCAATTTTGGGGTACCCCTAAATCATCCATTTTGACAGGATTTTCCATAACAAAAACCATCTATTTTGGCGCCTTGCCTTGGAGCGCTTGAGGCCAATGCCCAAAAGCTGCAAGAGATCATGGAAAGTTGGAAGGTGATCTGAAACTGGGCCCCAGAAATGTCCTCATTTTTATGGGAAAATATGGGAAAATTGGTTGATAAACCATGATAAACCATAGAGATGCTTGCAGGATGAGATATGATGAGCTTGTTAGTATGCTTATAGAATCATTAGTACTTCCGACAAAATTATCGGAACTTCACAACCGATAGGGGACCACAGTCACTTTTAGCCATGTCCTTTTCGAGTAAAAGGACATCTTGGCCGTCACTTCTTTGGCTATCGTGTGCAATGACGATTGTTAGCTGCGAAGCCAGCCTCATTGCATGGTTGCGCTATGCCAAACCTGGAGTAGCATCCCTGAAATCAGCACTGCCATTGGCCCTGACCAGGCAGATGTGTTGAGCTGTGCCGAAAGATTGGAAGAACTGAAGGTCGCCACCACAGCTGGGACAAATACTCTGGGACAAATACTCTGGGTTTATCATTGTCATTACTACTCCTGTTTTATGCATTCTGAATCATGATGTGTTTGCAGGACTGTATCTACCCCAAGAGGTGTAGGCTTTCTTGCATCCACCGTCATGATCCCAAAATGTTGGTAGATACAGATATCATCTGACAGTTTCACATGTTTCATGGCGGGTGTGGGACATGTTGTAGGGGGAAAATGGGGTATACCCTCTCAAAAAAAGCTATCTCAATAGGGAAAATTGTGATGACACCAATGGATTTTAGGATACACTGTTTTCAGACAAACCCATACTGTATTATAATATCCAAAGTAGTGACTAGTGAAGAGAACTGCCATTGAGAATGAGAAGCCCTTGGGTTAAGCAAGTAAAAGAAATGTATATATCATATATCATATATCCACATAGATATATTTGCATAGCCATACAGAATATGAGACAAATACATACACATATACCAAGAGCTACCAAAATTCACATTTCCTGCACACCGCCACTTTTTTGGCATGTGCGTGTGTGTAGCAACCCCCAAAAATATCGAACAGTAGAAAAGATGGCTCATTCTGTGGCAAAAAAAAATCTATCAAGGGGAGATGTTCCATATGCTATAGACTTTGGGAAAGTTAAATACAACCCTTTGGTCATCTAACACTACGATGGAAAATTTACAGTACCCATTGAACTAGCTATTTCCCATTGCTAGATATTCCCACGTTGGATTACCAGGGGTCAAGAGCAGCAGATGGCACAGTCATTGATGCCCAGGCTGACGTGTCCGAGAAGGCGCATAGTCTGGAATCCTTCCAGGACTGCAGTGGGACTCGAGTTGACCTGTGGTTGAGCTGGTGCAAGAGTCAGGTCTTGAGCGGAAAGTAATACTCTTGGCAATTGCTCCCAATCGAACACTTATTTATGATGATCAATGGAATACATCCCTTTGCCGCTAAGATTTGATTCAGAATCGACGGCACACATTGAGTCATTTGGGCTGCAATCTATCAAACGCTTGAAGGTTGCGCCTTGTGCCTCGAAGCCAAACAAGGTTCTTTTTCATAGAATTTTGACAGCCAAGCATACACCTCTTAAACCTAATATAATGACAATTAATGACAATTAATGACATTATATAATATTGTGTTGGATATATAAATGGTTTGATTTTCTTTACCCTCAGCATAAGCAACATTGATTTTACCCCGATCCCTCCAGGATTCCTTGCATGCAACTCAAGCTCAGCAGCTGCCGGAAGACATCGAGCATGAAGGCAGGAATCCAACTTTTCTGCGTGTTGCTGTCTGAGTTTCCATAAATGGGGGGTACCCGGGTACCCCCATACTAGTAGCTAGATGGTTTTTGTTATGGAAAATCCCAACCTATAAATGGATGATCTAGGGGTATATACCCCCATTTTAGAAAACTTCCATATTATATGCCGTTACATATTATCCATTTTAGAAAACTTC